AAAGAGACTGATAATCTTCCTTCTATGTAACTCCTCCTAGAACTTGAAACTCACTTGGGCCCTTTACCCTTTGGGCAATTAATCACTGTTGTTGAGCTGGGCAGGTCCAGATTTCAAAATCTGGAGCATTAGAGACATGTTTAGCCAAATATTTTTAGAGCTTAAAAGAGGTCTTCCTTTGAGTTTGAAGACGAGACTCCATTTACTTCTCCTTTACTCCAGGTAGCTGGGTCCATAGCAGAAATTCTGTCTATATATTTGCAAAGCATTCAGCTCAGCTAACTGTTCTTGGCATATTGCAAAGTGGGGCTCAGACTCCTTCCTCAAGCTTTCAGGGTATTAACACTAAAGTGGAGCAATTCAGCCCATGGATTCAGTCCTGATTTGCACCAAATCTGGGCAAGATGAAGCTTCTGCTGTGGCTTCTGAAAAGTTCTGGAATGCAAAGAATAGACCCTGGAACAGGTTTTCTCTTGTTAAATGCAACAATTGACATGGGTGTCAATATGTTTGGGGTCATCTAATGAAAGTTCTAAATTCTCTCTTTTTTTTTTTCATCATTCCTTTCCTTAAGGGAGCTTCAATTAATGACTTTCCTGACTTTTCATCTGAAAATCCTTCTTGCAGTGTAATTAGTGACTCACCAGTAGATAATACTGACGTATCTACTTGCTGGGAAATGCTGGACTATACACTTTAGGCAGATGGGCAGTCACTTCAGTGCCTACCATGGGCTGGGCATCATTGTTCTCAGTATCTGAGAAGGCTGAGATAATAATAATAAAAATAATTATTGGCATATGTGACTGCCTTTGCCTACATCACATTTCCTTGTTTCTTTTTCTCCTTCTTTTAATTCTTTCAGAGAAATAGAATGGATGAGCCTAAAACCCTCTGCCTCTTTTTCCATCTGCATTTCAAACATTTCAGGTTGTATTTGACCCTCGGTGCCACAGACTTCCAGTTTTATTTTCTCCTGGAGACTTACATTTGTATCGAATGTGTCAAAGTTTTGAATCACATACTAAGTATGTGCTTATTACATATTTTCCTTATTAAATCTAACATGTTTTTGAAAAATTTTAATGTAGCCTTTAAATGAAATATGAGCATAACCACTGAGGGCACTCTATTAAACAATAATTATAGGATCCTGATTGTTCTGATCAGTGGCTTCTGTCAGATCAGATCAGATTTCCCCTTGCCTTGAGGCAGGGCATGGTGCTGGCTATCTGAGCAGTTACTGCTTTACCTAATGTGCCCACGGTTAAATAATAAATGGAGTCCCCCTGCCTAACCAGTGCTGGTTTTAGATGACTTGGCCAAAAACAAAAAAAAAAACCCAGTGATTTTTCAAACACATCTAAAGATGCACACTACTAACCCAGGAATGATTGGATCCTCCCAGGTTTCTAACTTCTTTATATTTCAGTGGCCTTGAAAATATTTACTTCAAGAAAAATAAATGAATAAATAACATTCTTAAAGATAGGAAAGACATTCATATTTTATGGTTTAAAAATGTAAATGGCAAGCCTGGTGTGGTGTCACACACCAGCATTCCCAGCCCTCTAGGAGGCTGGGATAGGAGGATCAAGAATTTACCAACTCAGGGAGATGCCATCTCAAAAAAATAAAAAGTGGCTAGAGATGTAGCTCACTGTGAAGGATCTGGGTTCAACACCCTATACTGAAAATGGTGTATTTTTTTTTTCTTTAATTCAAAAACAGGTGAGGAAAACATTTTTTTTTTTTGTAACCATAAAAGCTGAGAAACAGAAGGAAACTTCCAGAATAAATGAAACACTATCATGGTTGTGAGTCAGTATTTAATGCATGTTGATTTTCAACAAAAGGGATTTTGATATGCAAATCATTAGATGGAAAATTTTCCTGAAGGAAAGACAGAAATGTTGATAAAATTTGCTCTAGATTAGAGGTGGCATCAACTGATAAGAGCATAAGGCTAGGAATTTGACAGTTCAAAACTAGCCTTCATCTGGTTTTCTTTGGAACTGAGGAAAAATTTAACCTACCTACTTGAAATTTCTTATCTGTAGCATTTTCATCACAATGTGAAATTGACATCATTTTTAGAATTGAATGAGATCAGGCCTAAAGCACTTAACACAGTGCTTGGCCCAGTGTAAAGTTGCTCTTAAAATTTTTATTTTTCTCTTCTGGCAACAGATGTTTGTGGCTGTTTCAGCAGTTTAACCCCCACATGTCTAATAAGGTGCCAAAAATGAATTTTCCATCTTTGCTCCTTTTAACCACACCCTGTTTTAATCATGAATCAGATTTCAACACCATCTCTGAAAGGTGACACCCACTAAAGATTGCTCTTGTGTGGTTTTAAATTTCATTGCATTAAAAACAATGTATCAGCCAAAGGGGGTACTTAGTACCTCTTAAGAGATTACAGTGTTACAGTAATTTACATTAATCTTAAAGAGGAAAAACATGATTTAGAAAACATGGGACTGAGGGCATTTACAGTATGCCTAATTCCAATGGCTTTGAAACAGTATTTCATAAATTGTGCGAGAGAAAAAGTTCACAGTTTATATAACCATCTGCATCATCCAAGACCTCCAAGTAAACCTGTTTCTCTTCTTGTCTGTCTTTCCATCCATCCATCCATCCATCCACCCACTCATCTGACAAAGTAGTCTCAGTGGTGGAAATTGTAGATTATAGAAATTTGTCTTAAAATTTAAATGATTTTAATATTATCTTTACTCCAGATTTCAGTTTTATTTGTGAAACATACCGCAACCATTTAATAATGTAATTAGACCGGATATTAAAAATGGTAGTTTCGGAATAGATCTTATATATTTAGTTATTCACCGTCTGTATCATCTTCTTCTTGTAGAATGATGGAAAACCTAATTAATTTTGGCTTAAAGGAAAAAAAAAACAATAACAACTAACCAGTGTGGGAAATTGCAGGGTTAGATTTATTGACTCTCCTAACAGAAGTATTGGTGTAGAAATGGTTTCAGATGTAACTCTATCCAGAGACTCAACAGATGCTGCTAGAACCTAATTATTACCATCTTTCAGTTCTTTCGCCTGAGTAGTTGCTTCATTCTTAGATTCTATGTGATGGCAACGCAGTTACCTGGAGGCCAAGGCCCATTTGGCTTCAGGTTTACATTCAGCAGGGGAAAAAAAATTATTTTTCTCTCTCTCTCCATGTGTCAAGTCTTAGCAAAAGACTCACTGACTGTTAGAATACTGTGGAAAAAGAAGATTGAATGGATGCTGGGTGCAAGATGTTTGGTTGTCTCTTCAGAGGCTTCAGGCAGAAATGAAACTATTATTTAAATTGGGTCACCCTCAGCTCTCACACTTTTACATCTGTTTGAGCATTTGGAAATAAGCCAAACCCTGTGCCCTTCTCCAGCTGCATCATTATGTGCTAAACAGTTCTCACCGTGTGTTAGGCAAGCTGTGGCCTCTGAAGAAGCAGACACCTCTGGAACTGGCTTTCCTAATGCCTCTTTTATGTAGGTTACCAGATATTCTAGCCTAACATGAAGTGAAAATGACAAGGAGACAAATATGTGTATATGTGTGTATGTACAAAGATAAAAAACAAAGCAAAACAAACAATCAAACAAAACCCCAGAACAACTCACATTGTTGAAATGGCCTGGATCCATGAACATTAGGCTTAGGTAGGTTCATACTTATTCAGACCCACAAAGATGACTTTGGACCATGCCCTGCTTCTTTTATTGGGACAGCTCAGGGAGTTGAATTGATCTTGGTTAGCTGTTCCAACAACTCCTCTAGAATACACATAGCATGTTCTCAGGACACTTCCTGTGACTTCGTAGAATCTCTTAGAACAGAAATGTCAGAAATGGTTTAATTTGGAGTTGGTTATTTTTGGCCAGTATTAATTGCTCCATTACTGTAATCAGAGTGGGTAGTTGCTGTTTTAGTTCCACTCGCATACATATTTATAAAAGCCCTAGATGACTGGCTCAAACTTCTAGCTATTGCAAGTTTGTTTTTCTTCCCTGGTGTAGTACAGAGTTAACATCACATAATCAGCTGTACAACCTAGGTAACATTGGAAGATGTTTAATTCTTCCAAAAACTATGAACTTCAAATTTTTTTTCTCTCTGTTTCCATGTTGAATGGCCAATGACAGAGAAATGTAAAGTCCCCCATGATTAAAAAAAAAGATAAAATTAAGATAATTCTATTTCCTCATACAGGTTATATCCACCTCTAGATATCTGAAGATTGGGTCTGAGCTAGTGAAACCTGATTTGGATATTGAAATCACATGTTCTTTCTTTCCCTTTTAGACCTCTAAAGCAGTATAATGACTTTTTGCTTCAGCATAATTTTATCACATCGGAACGTTAAGAGGAATAAGGCTATCATCTTCATGAAGTCCTTTTAAAATCAGATTTCCCAGATTTGTGCAGGGAGATCTATCCGCTACTTTTTTGTTTGTTAAATTTTCCAAAGAAGTTAAGAAAAGAGAGTTTATGTTTTACCAAGACCCTTGTATGTGCATGTGTGTAGGTGTACCTGAGTAGGTGTATGTGAGATCATAGACTTAGGGCTGCCTTTGACCAAATTATAAGATCAAAGGTGGCATTGGGTAATTTTTATACTTGTATAGGGACAGCTGATTGAATAATAACTGAAAGCTACTCTCAAAGAACAAAGCTTCAACTATTTGTTTGTTTTTTAATCAACAATTCATGAACTGGTCAGCACCCAGTGCACAAAATAGAAAGGACTGCCAGGGAGATAAATGGTGTGGATAATTCCTGGTGTGTGTCCTCTGAGGGTTATATGTGTTTTAATTTTCATCTATTTTTACATGGAATTATATAACACTCTTCCTTCAGGGTTGAACTCACATTAAGTTTTACCTTGAAATATTTCTTAACTGTCTGCTACCTTTGGGTATAGGCAGGTGCTTTCTCCTCTTTTGTAATGATCACCATTTTTGTTTACCCAATAGGCCATCTCTTCAGTGAAGAGATCTTCTAATCTCTTGACCCAGCATCATGAAATATGGTGAGTAGTCAATGAGTTATAGCTTTCATTCTTTTTTTTTTTTTTTTT